AAATTTCAATCAGCATAGTTATCTACAGGCAAATAGTTAAAAGCCCAGTCTCTGCTTTAAATATATCATCTGATTTTAACCATGCATCCTGCTGCAAAGGCAGTGAAATGTATTCCAAACAACACTAGCTCCTGTTTTCCCAGTCTTAGTGATGACCAAGCCACTTACTACTTACTCAGCTGCTTGCTCTAGGTATAATGCTAAAATCTTCCTTCATAGCAGAGCTGAAATTAGTTCCTCTTTTATAATTCTGACACTTTCCTCTTTCAGGGAGGATAATGTAATTTGTCCTCTTAACCAACACACTGGGGTGAATTGGCTCTATGGCAAGAGTATAGGTTTCTCTATCTCTCATCATGTCATACAAATTAACGATTTTCCTTAGTGTCAGCTGTCCCATGCTACTAAAAACCTGCAAAGCAGATCATAGAGCTGTTGTGGCTATAGTCTCTCCCCATGGATATTCTCTCTTGCTCTTCTCTTGAAATAGTAATGTGTTCATAGGTGATCCAATTATTTTTTCTCTTTGTACTTTCAAGATTCTACTAAGACATATACTGCATCTTGCTGAACCTTTGTTTTTTGTGACTTTTCTGCATGGTATACAGACTTGAATTCCTTAAAGTAAAATTTTTATACCTTTTATTTTTACATCATCTGTATCACCCAATGTATCTCTCTTAACCTTCCCCACCCCCTGCCCAGAGATAAAAGAGTAATACACTGAAAAAAATCTGATGTCTGTAGTATTCCATACCCACTGGCCCTTACCTCTCTAAAGGACAGAGGTGCCTTCTCATGCTTTTTCTTTAGCTCTAATCTTGCTCATTATAATGTCATAGAATTCAGGTTTAATTGATTTGTTCTTTCCATTTATATTGTTGTAGTCATTCTATATACTGTTTTGTTTGTTCAGCTTACTTGATATTAAAACATCAATTCATATAAGCTCTCTCATGCTTCCCAGCATTCATTACATGTACAAAATTGTGCTATTCCTTTCACATATTATAATTTATTTAGCCATTTTTTAGTTGATGGGCTTTATTTCCAATTCTTTTGCTACCACTGGAGAGTTTTCTTGTCCCTGCTTGGTTCCCCTATCCACCAGCCATGGTCTCTGTCTTCCTGGGAGCCCCATGGGAAATATTATTCCTTTTGGAGGACACTGCTAGGGGACAACTCTCCTTCTCCCCAGGGAGCTAGGCAGACAATTTCACTTCCTGTGGCCAAAAGCAAGCATTCACTTTCCAACAATACCACTCCTCATTCCTTCAAACCCTCTCAGGGAAGGAGCAGTCCAATGACTATGGTCAGCAGTATGAGAAGGTCCTATCATTTTGTGTTAGTTTGTTTGTTTTTTAAATCACTGATCTCTTTAAGGTATGCCTGATAAAAGAATCTCTAGGTCAAAGGGCATGGACATTTTAGTCACTTCTTTTTTAGTATAATTCCAAATTGCTTCACAGAATGATTGGCCTAATTCACAGATCCAAAATGCGTCTTTCTACAACCATCCCAAATTGATTATTCACATCTTTTTTGTCCCCAGCGTTGTCAATTTGCTAGGTACAAGGTGAAACCTCAGAGACCTTTTGATTTTTATTTCTCTTATTAGTAATTTGGAAAAAATTTCATAAGTATGTTGGCAATTCTTATGAAAACTATTCAAATTCATTGTTTTTTGCCAATGTTTTACACATGTTGTGGCTATTTTAAATGAGACTTTCCTGTTTTCTTCTCTTGGCTTTTGCTACTACTATCTAGAAATGTTCTTGATTTTTGTGGGTTGCTTTTAAATCCTACTAATTTACTGAATCTAGTATATCAATTAATTTCTTTGCTGATTCTCTATAATTCACTAGAACCAACACATCAGCAGCAAATATTGATAGTTTTGTCACCTTTGCCTACCTTTATGTCTTTAATTTCTTTTTGTCTTATTACTATTGTTAATATTTCCAGAAAGATGTCAAAAATCACTGGGAAAAGAGCCTGTTTCTTTTATTCTTGTCCTTAAATCTTAAAGTTATGTCCATAATCAGTCATTTCCAAATGAAAAAAATCTATAGAAACTACTTTATTAACTATTAAAATAAGTTAAAATAAGTATAAAAATAAGATATATAAAAGTGTCAATTATTATTATTGTTATAGTCAATTTCTGCGATGTCACTTGGTGCTCATCACATCCTATGACTCCCCAACTCTTGAAGATCTCTATTGCCACTTATAGAGAGCTTCTCTTCACAAGGGTAATATAATTTGTAGGAGGCTGTGCAGCTGAAACTCCTCATCCAGGGTAAGCAAGATAAGGCTAGTCTTACATTATGGAATAAAAGCACGGATATTTGCAAAATGGCAACGCTCTTCAGTTTTCTGTTAAACTCAAACACTATGCATTTTCCTAGCATCTAAAACTTTTGTCTGACCTTATACCTTTTCTTTTTCATTATTCCTTGAGCTCTTTTGATCTTGTTCTAACCCACAGTTTTAATCTGGCCAGCCTGAGGCATCTTCTGCTATAAGTTTGTCCTGCTCTCCATTTTCATGAAGCCTCAGCTTACATCATAGAAACTCCCAGACTCAAATGGCGGTAGGCACAATCTGGCGTTATACTAACTTATTAAAAGTGAGAACAACACATAAAAATATCTATTATATGAAACAGAACATAACAAGTGCATAAGAGAGCTACAATCACTGAAAATTTTCAGGCATCTTCAAGTGGGTGGATCAAGGAAGTTTTATCATGGAAATTATTTCTTACAACTGAATCTTGAAGAGTAGAGTTTCAATAGGTATTGATGGGGCAGAAAACATTTCAGGCATAGGAAATAGTGTAAGCAAAAGCTGAGAGGGGAGAAAATGTAGGATATACTGTGATTCAATTTGACTGGAGCCAAATTGGATGTATTGGCGGAGGGAGTTTGGAGTTGGATAAAGAAAGAGGGAAGATTGGTAGTAGTTTTAGAAAAGGTTAGAAAGGTAGGGTGACTTGATTGTGTGGGTAGTCAGTATCACCAGGAAATAAGGGTAAAGTATGCAATAAGAAATCATTGAAAGATTTTGAATATAACAAGTGATATCAGATCTGTGCCTAAGAAAGATTGTTTTGGTAACAATGTGGAAGAAGGAGAAGAAAGACTGTTTCAGAAGCTATGCTAGTTGAGCTGAAGGCAATGAAGACGTCTTGTATTATACAAAAACACCTACAAGACAAAGAAGTATATTTTAGGTTCAGAATGGTAGATACAAGTGAATGGTAGAAAAGAATACACTTGGCTATGATCAGGTAAGGCATCACAGAAAAAGATTTGTTAGTGGGAGCACTATGTTATTGAAGTCAAGGTCACTTTCCTGTATGCAATTAACTTCCAAAAGTGAAGTGAGGATGCATATTAATAAGAAAAGGTAATGACAGGTAGCTATCTGTGTTAGCATCTGATTCACCTCCTAGGTTATAAGCTCCTATCTTAAATGCTTGTTGATTGATGTAGGATAGTAGTGTCATTTAAAAAAAAAAATGTCAGATTGCATTCCCGTATTCAGCCCTCCTACAAACAAGGGAGCTGAGAAAGTATATCACATCTTTGTGATAGATAAGACATTGTAGACTTGAAGGAGTTGCTCTGCAAATCTACCACCCCTACTTACAAAATCTCAATGTGCATGATTAGGTCAGTAAAATCAACTTTATATACAAGGCACACTGCATTTGTAATGCACTGACATGAATCTTAAGGGTTCAAATAGATTATTCTAGTACATATCATTCCACATAATTGTTATAGAAACTCTTTTAACTGTTGTTCACTTCAAAAAATTAGTGTAATCATCACCTTATAAATGACACTGAAAATTCCAAATTCACTTTCTCCTCCTGGTACCCCTCCCACCAATTCCACAACTGCACTGTATTTGGGGAAGTGTCAGAAAGGCTGGTTGACAAATTCAGTTCTTCACAGGGTTAACTTTATAAAAAGAGACAAATTAAATTACTTAACATCTTGAAAAAAAAAGTTCCATGTATATGGCAGGTGACCTGGTAGTAAACCCAGATAAGCTAACTCCTACTCCTGTTCCTTCCTGCTCCCCAGAGGCCCAAGTAGATTATAGATTTATGGAAAGGAGGAAGTTTTGGGGCCATAGAAGAAGAGATGGAGGCACAAGGAGGTTAAGTGATTTGCCCAGGGTCACACGTCTAGTAAGTCACAGGCCATCCCTACTCCTTACTCCTCCCCCCCCTTCCCCCCACAAGCTGCTGCTGCTCTGTCCTGGGCAAGTCTTAGCTGCGACCTTTTTTTTTTTTTTTTAAACACATTTAAACTAAAATGCTACCCTACATGGGGGACCTCGGCCAAGTCGCCATCCAATCTCGCCCTATTCCCCAAATCTCTGATCCTTAAATCCCAATTCCATTCGTCAAGTGAAACTCGGCATCCAGGAACCCTCCAGCCTTTTGCTTAAAGGCGGTTAGGTGGCACAATGTATCCACTGAGCGCCCGACCTGAAGTCAGGAAGACCCGAGCTCAAATTCGACCTCAAACACTTACTAGCGGTGTGGCGTGACCCTGGGCAAGTCACCTAACCCCATTTGCCTCAGTTTCCTTATCTGTAAAATGAGCTGGAGAAGGAAATGGCAAACCACCCCAGAATCGTTGCGAAGAAAAAGATAGGGTCACGAAGAGTCGGACACGACTGAAACAACTCGACAATAAAATAATTTAAATGGAGCCAATTAACAGAAAAAACCGGAAAAATCATACAACACAACTTGAAATAATAATCCCGCACACCTAATATACCAAACGAACTAGAGGAACAAGCCACGTCACCACATTGCGCCGGAAGTTATGCACCACAACCCCTAATTTCCGGTCTTTCCCGGAACCCTTTTCACCGGCTCGCTTAGGTCGGTCTGGAAATCACTGAGCTTGGGACTACAGAGCTTCCGTAGTCAGGCGGGCCCGCTGCGCATGCGTGCTGGTGTCTCGGTGGGTTTTCCCAGGGAGCGTGCCGGGGCCGTGCCGGTGAGGCGGCATGTCAGCGGGAACATCGGACTCCGCGCCATCGTCCTCAGCGGTGGCTGCGCCCGGCTTTGGGGGCTTCGCTATGGCTCAGACGGGGATCCTAAACCTCAATAACGAGGTGAGTGCCGAGGGGTCCGCGTTCACTGCGTGGTGGACGAAGAGCTGGCCGGAACAGCCTCCTTTCTCCGGGGACCCTTGCGGTGCGCTGGGGGCCCAGGGTCTGTGCCGGAGGTGAGGTTCCTCAGTTTCCTTTTATGTAAAATGAGGGCGCCGGACCAGATGACCTCCGAGGTCTCTTCTAGGTCTAGGCTCTTCCGAGCGGGAGCGGCCGGCGCGTTCTCTCTTCTCCCGGATGCGGGGGGGTTTGCGGGGTGTCCCCAGTCTCGGGGCCGTGATGGGGAGGGGGCGCTGGGGGCCGTCCTTGGTCCTGGGAGTGCCCGGTTCCTGGTGACGGAACCGGGAAAGAGGTGACTGCCTGAACGCAGGAGGAAGAAGGGGCCGGAGTGACCTGGAGACCGATGGGGAAAGAAATGAATGGCACCTGGCCCAGGTGAGGTGTAATTGTCCACCACCCTTAAAGTATGAACCCCGGAGACTATGAACCGCGTCTCCCCTAACTTTCTGTTTCCGTCGGCACCCTAGTACAGCACTCTGCATGCTGGAGCTATCTGATCATGCAAAACCCCTCGAGAAAGTCATCCACACTAGGTGACTCCTCTTCTCTCTCGATTCTAAACCCTTTAAAATCAGGATTCGACTTCACATTCAACTGAAATCGCCGTCTTCAAAATTACTACGATCTCTTATTTTTACAGGGGTCTCCCTGTGGGGAAACTTTAAGTCTTGGAGAGTTATCTGAAGCGACTTGTCCAAGGTCATGAAGCCATTACGTGGCAGAGGCTTGCTCTGCTCTCCCAATCTTCTATGCCTTACTGCCTCTCCCCTAGGGTCTAAAGGATATAAATATTAACATGATATAGGTTATCGAACAGGATTTTTTAATGTAATACTTTATGTGTCACTTCTGGCATAGGGAAATAATTTGACACTGGTGATAACTTCTCCCTCGATGCATATTTCTTGCTAATAATGAAAAAAAAAAGTTTTTCATTCTTTAGGGATGAGGGGGAGAGAAACATTTAAACTAAAAAAGGCAAACCTATTGAGTATGTCATTTTTAACACCATAAATGTATGGCAATACAAAATAGACATGGTGTTTTCATTTGTTTAGCCTGGTAAAACATCAGGGTCTGCCAAGGGATTTATTATCATACGATCATAGATCTAGAGCTGGAAGTGACCTTTAAAGCCATCTAGCCCAACCCCCTCATTTAACAGATGAGGAAACTGAGACTTGGTGAAATGAGAAAAGAAGACATATCAGTAATACTTGTTCCCTTTGCCAGACATTCTCTCAACACTATTTACCATCATGCTGTTTCCCCCTCTTCAAGAATGTACAGTGACCTATTGCAAAACTCTCTTTAATGCCCTCTATAAGAGCTCTTCATTCTACCTTTCCAGCTTTCCCCCTACCCATCGGTGACCCTCAGGATGATGTCCAGCCCGTTCTCCTCTCTCTCTATACTTATTCATTTGGTGATCTCATCAGCTCCCATGGATTTAATTACAATTTCTTTGCTAATGATTCTCAAGTCTACTTATACAGCCCCAAATTCTCTGCTGACCTCCAACCTCCCATTTCCATTTGCCTTTCAGACAACTTGAACTGGATGTCCAGAGGACACCTTAAACTCAACATGTCCAAAACTGAATTCATTTTTCATTGTAAACCCCAAGCCCCCCATTACTGTAGAGGGCAACAGCATCCTACCAGTCACTCATGCTCACAATCTAGGAGTCATCTGGTACTCCTCACTATCTCTGCTCTGTCCCTTCCCTCCCCCCATGTCTAATCTGGTGCCAAGGCCTATCAATTTCACCTTTGTAACCTCTCTTTCTCTGACACTGCCACCTCTCTAGTTCAGGCCATCCATCACCTCACACCTGGACTATTGTAATAGCCTACTGATGGATCTATATGTCTCGAGTTTCTTCCCACTACAATCCATCCTCCATTCAGCCACTAAAGTGATTTTCCTAAAGGGCAGGTCCAACCATGTCACTCAGTAAACTCCTGTGGGTGTCAGTTGCCTCCAGGATCAAATACAAAATGATCTGTTTAGCATTCAGACTCTTCCTAACCTAGCCTTTCCTACTTTCCAGTCTTCTTACATCTTACTTCCTGACACCTGTTCTTCAGTCCAGTGACACTGACCTCCTGGCTGTTCCATTAACAAGACACTCCACCTCTAGGCACTGGCATTTTCTTTGGCTGTCATTGCATGAAACACTTTCCCTCTTCTCCTCTCACTACTGATGTCCCTGGCTTCCTTTAAGTCCCAGCTGAAATCCCATCTTTTGCAGGAAGCATTCCCCAACCTCTCTTGGTTCTAACGCCTTTCCTCTGTCAGTCACTTCCTGACACTCCTCCTTTAGATTGTAAGCTCCTTGAGGACAGTGACTGTATTTTGTCTTTTTTTGTATCCTCTGTGTTTAGCACAATGCCTGGCTCATAGAGACACTTAATAAGTGTTCATTATTTGGTTGATTTTCTGCACTATACTACCTGTTATATTCAAATAGATCCCTCATTGTATCTCTTACACAGTCGACTCATTTCTGTAACCTTTTACTGGTGCTATTTTATCTACTAGGAATACCTTTCCCAAAACTTCTACTTAAATTAATTTTGTTCATTCTTCTAGGTTCACTTTGAAATATATGAGACATGATCCCTGTTCTAAGGGAATTTATACTCTAATTGGGGAGATAAAACATAAACATTAGAATATATATTTCTAGTTGGAAGGGCCTGTAGACTTACTTAATCCATTTTTGTGATGAAAAAATAGAGACCCAGAGAACATCAGTGGCTTATCCAAGATCACGCAAGGTAGTAACAGACCTGGGACCTATACTAGACTAGTCTTTTACTTTGAATTCATTATTTTTTCCTGGAACTCTCCCTCTGAAAGTCATTGTAGTTTAGATCATAGAACATTAGAACTGGGAAAGGGCCTAGAGGTTGTTTAGTCTATCCCCTTCAATTTGTGTGTGGAAAAAATGAGGCACAGGGCCATATTCTGATCAACACAAAATAATCATTTCTTAAGGGTTCACTAAATTAGCCAGGCATTGTGATAAGTGCTGAGGATAAAAAGACAAAAAATAAAAAATCCCTACTTCAAGGAGAAATGGGGGGGGTTGGAGTGGGGATATTGGAGACATTATCTACAGTAATAAATACATGCAAAACAAATACAAGGCAATTGATTTTTATTATTGGCCACTACTCTGAAGTTGTGCCATTTTTGTTTATTTCCAAATTTATTCATTCAGCACTGTTGGGGATAGGGCAGCTAGGTGGTACAGTGGATAATGTTGAACTTGGAGTCAGGAAGAATGGACTTCAGATCTTGACGTAGACATTAATTGTGTGACCTTGGGCAAGTGATTTAACCTCTATCAGCCTCAGTTTCCTCATCTTTAAATGAGGATAAAAATAGTATTTACCTCAGGATTGTTTTGAGGATATAAGATAACATATAAAGTGTTGTGTGAGCTTTAAAATGCTATATAAATAGCTTTAAAATGCTATATAAATGCCAGCTATAATTAGAAATCTGACTTGTGAATAAATGTTATATTATTGTATTTAGAGAAATGAAAAGCAGGGATCATGAAAATCTGCATATAGTTTCTCAAAATCCTAACTTATAGATGTAGTCTTCTCTTCACCAAATTCCTTACCAGAAAATTAAAAACATATCCATAACTCGCATATGAGGCTTTCGAAACACTTTCCTGTTAACCTTATAAGTAGTGCAATTCTTATTACGTCTTGGTTACAAGAGAAGATACAGAGACTCAGAGAGGTAAAATGCCACCTGTGGTTATTATGCATGCTTCCGTGAAGTAGGGATTATGTAATTATGCAATTATTAATGACCCCACACTGATTTTGAATTCTGATAGTGAAACCTTTTCCATTAGGACTTGATGCCTTTCTTTGCTCAAGGTAGGAGTTTAGTGTAAACCTAACTTCATTGAGCCACAGAATATTTGGACTTGAGCTTGGGGCTCTGCTACATAAATCTTGACCTTAGAAAAAACAGTTCATCCTTGAGCACATAATTTAATGTTTCTGAGCCTCAGTTTTCTCATTTGTAAGATAAGGGGACTAGATGTTCCCCAAGGAAAGGTCCAGTGCCAAAATTTCATGATTTACCTCACAAAGGTAATAGATATTGTGCTTTGTTACCGTAAACGCTGTAAATCCTAAGTTGCTTTTACCTGTTATGATGCATGCTTTTGCCAACTAATAAATATAAAAATTTCCTTTGGGCATATTGTAGTTTATCCTAAGTGAAGATGTTAATGATAAGTGTAGGAACAGAAAAAGGAACTGAAAAAATGAAACTGAAATAACAATTATTTCACTTAACATAGTCTTTTTTCCATTTGTGATGATTTCTGGGCTGCTGGTGTTTCTACAAGATCATGAAATGAAGACTAGTTTTAGTTTAAAAAAAAGTAGGGGGGGTATTGAGGTTCCTATTCATATATTAAATTTAAAACTCCTTTGAACTGTTAAAACAGAAGAAATTCCAGGTCCAAAAAGGGGGACCTAGAATGAGCCAGAGTCCAATCACAGTTTACAAAGATTATAATTGCATTTATTGCCTAAGATAGAGCTTGTAAGCTTGAACAGTGAGACAGAGTGTACATCTGTTCAAATCCCAGTTGAAAAGGGTGAGATATTTATACCTTTTAAACAAAGGAAGGCCGGGAATTGGGCAGGTCTTAGAAAGGAATGAGGCCTCGTTCCCTAGGGGAGGGGAGATCCAGGAAATTGGAGGAGTGAGGAATTCCAGGTGTCAGAGCTGTGGCCCTTTAATACACAAATCAGAAGGCATTCCTGCTGATAAGCAGGCTTGGCAGTTCGAGATGTCTCCAAAAACCATAAAACAGGATGTGTTCGAGAGCCCCATGACCAACTGCTAGGGGAGTCTCTGAAGATAAGGATGTCTCTTAAAGGTCCATAAACCACCAA